TCGTTAATCAAGAAGTGCAAATTCAGAAACGAAACGTCAGTAAAGATAGCGAGGCTCATAGAAAAGCTTGGGCAGACACTTTGAGCACTGCATTGGAATGGGCTTTAGCTTTACCGGTGAGTTTTCTTCTTTCTATGTACATATATTGCATAACTTTGCATTATATCGTAAAACAAGTTCCAATCCTTCGGTACCACTTTATATTATTTTGTCATCATACTGGATACTGTGAATAATGTTGCATAAAAATTAACATATAACAATTTTTTTTAATCGAAACGCTAGATAAGAATTGTATAGTCTCTGCAAAAAGTGATTGCAATTGGGAATTTATATTTTTCACACATATAAATAAATACGTATGAAACAATTCAACAAAATCAATATTTATATTTAAAAATAAAATTTTATAGTTTAAATAAAAATTTTCTTATTTTATTCTATAATTATTTTTTAAAAGCATATAGGTACATATATTGTATTTCTTATTAAAATGATGTTCGATTCAGATTTTAAATTATAGACAAACTTTTTGTATTACTTTCAAATACAATATAGAAAAATCTGTAATTTAAAAAAATTTTTTATTTTTTTATTAAAAAATGTAACTTTTAAGAAATATAACAAGCAAATATACGTATTTTTGGTAATAAAAAATATAACACAGGAAAGTAAAAAAATCTTAGCTATATGCTACATTGAAAGTGATATCGAAGGGCTGATATATTAGACTGATAAAATTATATATAAGAACTTGTTTTGATAAATAATTTGACTTCTCAAATAAAATTGGTTGAATTTATGTATAATTGTTTCAAGACAGTTTAATAAGTTTTTATTATTTTTGGGGATCTTTTTGTAGGATGAACGATTAGCACCATTGCTTCCGGTTTTCGTACGTGGCGTGCGAATATTGACCAGGCATGCCGTAGATCAGAATCTGAAACAACGTCTCTCAGCTCTTTTTCACCGTATCGCTGTGCTTTATGGATTGACAAATAATTAATAGCGATCGACTTTAGACATATACGATCGCGGCCTTAGTTATAAGACTTTTCAAAAGACGAAGAAGGAACGATTTAATATGCTTGACTTACTTTTTCAAGTTCTTTATTATTACTGTGATAGATAGTTGAAATTGAAAGGAGATATGGGAAAAGAATGTAAAACCTGTCGATATATTTTAGTCGTACTTTTCGATAAAATCAAAATATATCAAAATTGATATATATACAAGTAAATTGAATTCGAAAAAAAAAACACGAGGTTTCCGTTATCACGCGAGTCTCTATTTTTTCCGTATATGTCGACGCGTCGACATGTCGGAGACAAGGATTTTATTTATGATCCATTCAGCATGCACATCTCTCGATTCTCATTTTATGCTCTTTGCGCTTAACTGTAGTTTGCGGTTCGGTCATAGTGCCGGGTGTATCGGATTTTTGCTTTCAACGTAAAGCTTGGAAACACGAGCGACAAATGAAAGGTATCTCGCGACGAAACAGGTGATATCGGCACTCCTCTTTACTTATCAAGATGATCTCTAGGAGCGGAAAATACTATTATTTTTTGCGCGAATTCTTTTGCTATTATAGATAGCGAGTATCTTTTTGTATAAGAGAAGAAGTAGAGTAAAGAATTTTGATGTTTGAAAAGAGAGAATCATATATATTACTTGCAATGAGTATTATATATTTTATTGACATAACGCAATATTGTTGAGGTATGCGTAAGATAATAGTAACATAATATTTTATATTATATATATTTATATTACTTTCCATATATATATATATATATAACCTACGTCAGATTCCAGAACATAATTTGTTTCATAATTTTACATCTCGTGTTTTGACATACATTTTATACACGTGTTTATATCTGATTTTTTAAATGCTTCCCTAATAATACTACTTATTTAAGATTATAAATATTTATCCTGATCCCTTATACATATAATAACGTGAGAATTGTTCTCTTTCCATATATATATATATATATATATAGAAAACGTAAGTGTAGTTAGTGTTATTTATTTTTTTAATTTATTTCCCTCGTTTTGCAATTAACATCGTGCATAGAGATTATAATTGAACGTTGATGTATATATTATACATATATCAGATATTATTCCCGATGTTTCTCTACGTATGGTGTATTCCATAAATGTTATAAATGTTGTTGAACATCAGATGGTTTAAATGGAAGGATTAATAATTGATAATAAAATGTGCCTATGTATCCTCCGTTTTCCCCAAAATGCATCTAGATGTACGGAAAGTAGCGCGACTGGGAATAACGAGAAATCGTTATAGATTTCGATACAGCTAAAGAGGCGTTTGTGTCCACGAAATATATACAGTATATGGTACGGAACATATATCTCTAATAAGATGTATGAAAGTTAAAATAAATGAATTCTAATATCTGAGAGTATATATTTTATTGCTCTGAGTACTTACTGAATAATTGTTGCGCGTTTTGTTTAGAAAGATAATTTTAATTTTTAATGTAGGTAATTTCAATCTTTCATATTTTGTCAAGTTTTATTAAAACTGGATGTATATTAAGTCCTCGAACAATATATTTTATCAAGGAAATTTAAAGACTGTTTCGATCAGGGGTCACGAGTACTACGCGATTTATTCCCATCGGCCATGCTCGGCTGGTACCAAAGATGTCGACCATTTCCTGCGAGACGAAACGTATTTCAGTTCATTTTAACGGACGTAGAAAGGGCGGGAGACTCTCGTCTGCGGTTGACTGTGAGTCGAGTCATCCTCGTAAAGAGAGAAGCTTACGAGCGACGGCCGCCTTGGCTTATTCCGTGGTTTTATTCGTGGCGTTCTATTCGCAGGACGCGTCGAGGCTGTAAACAAGAGAAGTGGGGAAGAGTGAAGAGATCTCTTCGAAGTGTGAAGTCATTGAAGTAGGAAGAATTTTTCGTCCGGTTTTCCGACATTATCGGTACTTCGATCGTAATAACATATTTTGCCTCTTACTTCGTCTATTGTTAAGAGGAAAAAGAAATAAGAGAGAGAATGTGAAGGATATTAGATATTAAAACACCTTTTTCAACATTTAACTTTTTAATGACTGTGAAGAAATAGTGGAACATTTACAAAGATTCGTTTCGTAAATTACTTATGACAATTACTTTCCATTAATTTTAATGAGAAACTAACGTTTCTTCTTATTTCAGGAATTTTCTGAATACTTTTAGTCTTGCAGTTATTTATAGAAACAAATAATGTGATTATATATTAAAGAGGAAATTACTTGTAACTGGGAAGTAGACATTTAGTATTTCTAGTCTCTTATTATACTTTGATTTCTGTTCCTTATGAAGATTACTTCGTCGTCGTATATATACGTATATTGTCAAACAGCAAAATCACCAAGACGCTTATTACGTTCTTAGCCACGTAGTAATTTCATTCCAACGTATGTTTAAACAATATTCTATTATTTTCTATCAAATGCGATGGTACATCTTTGTGGCGTGTTGTTTTGACGGATTTCTGACTTCAAATTTATATATTGCGCGTGAATATAATAAATTTTAAGAAAATTGTGTGGAAGATGGGAAGGTTGAGTGAAAAATTAATTATTTGATCTTTTCACGTTTAATTAGAATGTAAAGGCGTTTGCTTTTGGAAAAAAAAAATATAATTTAAATATGACTATAATTTAGCTGCGACTTGATTTTTTATAAATGATTTTTTATAAATAAATTAGCTGTTGCACAAAATATGCTATGGGTTAATTTAGGTGAGGCAAGTTTAAAGATTTAGCTGACACGAGGCAGCATGGGGTGACTCGCTAATAAAGGGACGCAAGAACGACGAACCGACGATGTCGCGACCAGCCAGACCGCAACTATCCATCCGTTCGTCATTTCCAACGTGCTTTAAATATTAAATAGAGCTTGCTGCGCTCGTAAAAAGGGTTATCTGTTCCCCCATGACGAAAGAGACAACAGCGTCGCTATAGTCCGTTCCCATGCGAATGAAAAAATTTTTTTATCGCATTTACGTGTGAACCCTCTATCGGAATGATCCATTTATTATTCCTGAAATTAATCTTGAATTTGTGAAAAAGTTTAAAAAAATTATTTACATAGCACATTCTGTGGATATAAGAGGATTTTCTTCAAATGTCTTGGTTATCTTTGATACTCGTGTTGAAACTTTTCCACGTCAAGAGAAAGGATTTAAAAACCTATCGGGCACATTTATTTCATTTCTGAAAATATATATGTATATTTACAATGTTACAGGGTTTGACTAACTTTTCCGCTCAAGAATCAAATGATACTTTCGTAATCTGATTCTCAACTCGTTTTAAGAAACAATCGAATGAAGATCCCGCCTTGTGCGCACGTGACGATTCTCCAATCATTGATCAGTTTTATCAATTTTGTATAACTAGATTTCGCTCGCTGATCTTTACGAAGTGTTTACTTTCAGTAAAGCTTATTTCATTTCAACGTGAATGAATCAATTTCAAATACAGGATCGCTATGAAACGTCTTTTGTGCGCATAATGACGTTTCTTCATTCATTGATTAGTCTCATTAGGAGTTTTTAATGAAATATTCCATTACTGATTTGTCATAAATTAAAGAAGTCTTTCTTTTAGTAAAGTTTATTTTTCTCTCTCTCTCTCTCTCACTTCATTTCAAAGTGAACGAGAGTCAATAATGTTCACTTTTATATACGCGACACATTACGAAATATCGGAACATTCAAAACATTCACCTGGGTTCTTACAGACGCAATAATTAGCGTAACTGCGAGTGACCCAAAGAAATATTTATATAGCACTGATATCATGCAAGTCTTTCTTCTGAAAAGTACTTGGTACAGACCCTGCTGTCTTTGTTATACCAATTAGAGCACTAATTAGATTGCCACACTCGGAGATTCGCGCATTGTAAGTCGCACACGATATGTGACGCACAAAATTTCAGTTATTTTAACACAGATCTCTTCTTTTTAGTACGGCCTCCATACATCGTTTCTTTGTTCACTTTCCTCGCCAAGTACGCCGATCTCTCGGATGCTACTGATGGTAAGATTGCCACCGGCTATAGTGACCTGTTCCTCGCTCAGATCGCCGTGCAGATGCAGATGAATCTGGTTTTGATTGACGGTGCTGTAGAGCTGAGGATAGAGGACCATTGGTGTCGGGCCTGTGATGTAATTCTGACTCGGATTGTTGTAGTAGCCTTGATAATTGGGGTTGTAATTGTGGGAAGCCACTGGGACTGGGGTCGCCGGACCAGGTGTCCAGGAACTGTAATGGTAACCCGGACTACCTGCACTACCCGTGCCACCGCTAGCAAAGATGTCAGGGTCGCTGGGTCTGGTCGGCACCAAGGGCAAGGACGTGGTCGGCGAAGTGCCATGTCCTGAGTACATGGACACGCAATTCGGCGTGTAGGTATCCTGTTGAGTTTCCGAAGGAAGTACTGCAAGCAGAAAATAATGTTGCGATTTGCGAATTGTTCGATAATCGTGGAAACAATTATAAAGTCTTTACACTAAAATTTGATTTGCTGTAAAGGATATTTATAACAAACAAATTGCACACATAGACGTTGAATAGTTTGTAATGTTGGTAGATTTCTGGAAGATTTTAATTTTACATGGAAAAAACGATTTTGCTGAAAAGCATATAAATGGATACAGATTTGAAAATAATTTTGTTAAAAACACCAATTGACATTTCCAACCAAATTATTTTCATGGTCTGACAAAATTGATCTCAGATTTGTATCCAGCAAAATTTCAGATCTTTTAGTAAAATCGTTCTATTCGTGTAAATAAATTTTTAGATATTTTAACAAAATCGATCTTTCTATGTATAGTAATTAAAATCTTCCAAAAATCTTCATGTGTGTAACTTGCTATGTTTCATTACAAACACTCGTTTCTATTTTCGTAAATATAATTGATGGCAACATGATTTATACTCTGAGAATTTCCACATCTAAAAAAATCGATTATAATATAGTTTCTAAAATAGATACAAATGAAACTCCTTCGAGATAGCGTGTTACGAAACTTTTTCCCGGAACGAGTTATGCGTCAGAATGTATTAAACCGTCGTAGGTGTTTCTTAATTAGCAATATGTCGGCGAATCACATTGCTAGATTAGCGACGTAAATGAATTCAAGTTTTTTGATTGCCTTATGTATTAATGAATCGTACCGGTTGGCAATGGCACCGGTTCCGTCGTTGGATGATGTGACAATGATTCCCCTGGATATGAAAATGCACCGCCAGGTAAAGGAGAATAGGAACCACTGCTGCTAACTGGAGGAGCCGGATAAGACGGTGCTGTGGATGGATAAGCCCATTCTGTAGTACCGATACCCGTGTCTGTAACAGAAAATATTATTCAATTAATTAATTTTCTATACAAGGATATGATGAGAATAATTTGCAAAACAAGATTTATATATTCATCACACTGTAATTAGAAATAAATTTTTTATGGAATAAATACGTTTAAAAGAAATCATATTTATATCTCTCTATATACATTAAAATTTAAATAAATTCCGTGTGTAGTCCATCAGAAAGGACTGAATCGTCTTATGGCAGTGTACTGTAAAACGTGCTTCTTAAAATGCGCAGCAAATCGTATGAGTCGGTAACGGAGTTTCGAGTGAGTAACATAGGCAGATTAATTGACATGAGTCACGAATCGAAGCAAGCGCGACGGAAACTTAAACGTTGGAAGTGAATGTAGTATGTGCACTGTGTGTGCATCTCGTATGAAAGAAACGAGTAGCATCGCGTCGTGAGATCAAGATCATTAAGTGAAGTGACGATTGCGTAACAATCGTGCTGGTAAAAGTGTAAATATACGATCGAATGATTTGTAACTTTTAAATCATATTATCTTCCTGGATTTTTTCTGCACAAGTGAGTTTCCTGATGGTGATTCAAATATGATAATATTATTAAATAAATAGTTCCGGCGGAAGTCACTTTATTAATTTATATAATTGCAATCTCTCGCTTTCCACGAAAGAAGTCAAATCATCGTTCATCGCGGTTCTATTGGAAGCATTAGTATTACTAGTCTTATGACTATTACTGAGATACACCATAAGTACTAGGCTTTCTGAAGTATCATGTGTCCTGATTATGTATAGAACCATTCCTAACATAGAGAAAGACAGAGAGAGAAAAATGATAATACGATGAATCATATACGATTCGGAGAAATTTTTCGGTGTCATTGTCCCATATATGTATGAAACGATGAAGCATTTCATTTAATTAGAATATATACATATGACATACTTCTCTATTTTATTCTCATCTAAAAAAATGTTTTAGAATTATAAAATATTAAAAATATTTTTATGAAAATATTTTTTCTTTAAATTTGAATTTTTTTAGTACATTCTTTTAGTATTACATATTATTATTTTGTAATAAAATTAATTTTTAATATTTAATTTTCTTTATTCTTAAAAAAATCAAAAAGATTGATAATCTTCTTGATAATCTTCTTTATTTAACGTTAACATGCAATATTATATATGATGAGGTGCAAACGTTTCTTAAACGGAAAAAATCGGTGGGAAAAATCCGTAAAAACATTAATGATTATCGCTGAATGAAGACTGGTTAATGATAAAAATCGGTTTTCAAGGGTATTCACCGTTCACTTCGTTCTGAGAATCCCTTCACTGTGATCATTGTCAAGTTTCGAAATGTACCGATTTCTTTCTTGCAGAGAGAAAACTTAATAATCTTGAAACATTGAAAACAATTTTAACTTTGAAAAAAATTGTAGATATTGAAACTTTTTGAAAAAAGTAATGACATTTAAAACATCTCAAATTTCTTCCATAGAAAATTGCAAATTTATCTCAGTCTTATTTTTTACAGAGATTATTATCTCAATAAGATTTCGATATACATAATTTGTATTGCGAGACTTCTAATAAAGTATCTCTGTTACACGTTGTCCAATGATAATTATATCTCATCGCTGTTAAACGCTTTATTCACGCTTGGAGGAAAATTAACACGAAACTCGGAATTATATGTTTTCGCGTGCAAGCTATCACGCGTGTGGGGAATACCTATGTCTTCTCATATGGAAAATATATGTAAAATACTATTCTCGCGAATTCGTTACAATCTTTTTCAAAGTTTCCCCTATTTAGCAATATTAACTGGAATTTATCGTTATCAGTTGCATTATACTTGTCATGCTTACAATTAATCGTTCATTAGTAACAACATTAACTAGAATTCGTCATCAATTACATTATCCCGTGACGCTTACAATTGATTGTTGATGATAGGTTGGGGGATTTCCATGTTAATTCTTATCTTAGGCCAGAGTCTGTTTGTTAGAAATATGTAGGTTCAAGCCATTGATGTATGCGACAGGTATACAAATGATACGAATATCGTTCAAATCGGTCGAGCTCTATTATGAAGTGAGGTCGAGGTCGGTACCGATCGGTTCTCGGGCAAAACTGTCGTTACGCCTACTAAGCGGAAGGTCGAGGTCGTTTCGAAATTCTCAAAGAGGACCGCCTTGCAGGACGATCGGGCAGGGTGAAGAAGGGGATGATTACCGAAAATGGCCGTGTATTTGCCGCAATTACCGGAACAACGGTAACAAAACAAAGGCACTAACACAACACTCTACTCGGATTGGTGTCGGCAGGACCATCTGTTGGATAATAGTAGTCCGTTTCTCCCGAATGATTCTCTATGAGCGGATGAGTGAGAAAAGAAAAATAACGTCCTACTCCATTCAGAACGAAGGATCGTTTTTTATCCTCTTCTTCTCCTTCGCTCCTCCTTTTTTGTCTAACAATGCTTTATTAGTACGGTGACCATACGTCCCCCGTTTTTAGGGACATTTTCAAATTTGTCGTTCCAATTAACACTGTTCTTATATAGATAATGTATTTAATCATTCTCTTACGTATATCCTTGTAATTATTTTTTGCATTATAATAAATAATAGATCAGATCAATAAACGCACAGAAAGTCTTATTCAAAAAAAAATTTTTTAACTTTTCCAATCCGTCGCACTAGGAAGATTTCTTAATAAAAAGATAAACGTTTATAAAAAAAAAACAAACGTGAAGATATTCGGAAAAACATTTCTAAAATGCTAATTAAATGTTTCTAAATATGCTAATTATACGTGTAAACGTGTCTTCCAGAAAATTCAAATTATTATAATAATACGTTTTGTTTGTACTTCTTGTTAGTATAATTAGAACATCTTTCTCAATGTGGTATTCCAAATTCAAACTCAAGAAATACAATAATCGCGTTTGCTTAACTGCTAGATTTCGTAACCCGATGGCAAGATATTGCATATTATGGTAAAGTTAAACGTGGGTTGGATTACTTATTGAATAATATATCGATTAAACGACAAATAATTAAATGTAAATTAGCTGCGTCATTTACATCTTTATTCCTCTATGCATAGGAAAATCCACTCTTTCATCTACGCGTAATGAGGTGTGTAAAATCCGATCTACAAAAATAAGAGCAAGTCAGTTCGAACTTTCCATTGGATTTTCCATCGTTATTCGATCAACAATTTAACGATCTCGACGTCACGTTGCTCTATTTCGCTCTCGTCGTCTTCGTCGTCGATTCAACATTCATCGCACAGCTGACCATTGTCGTCACGCTAATGTTCGCGTTGTCGCGCCGGTGACCGATTCTCAGAAGGCGACTTCTTATTTTTCTTCGTGGAGGATCGCAGCCTCGTCGTCGTTGATCCCGTGGCCGAAAGAACATACGAGTCCCGATCAAAGGAACTCCGAGTTGTTTACTGCTGTCCTATATTTTTCTCTTTCTTCCTCCTGCCCTTCGCCTCTCTCTTTTTCTTTCTCTCTCTCTCTCTCTCTCTCTCTCTCTCTCTCACTCCGCGGGTGTGAAACCACAGTGAGGTGGTTTTGGTGCTTAGTCCTCCGACCAGCCATCTACTTAACGAACCATCCATCGACCGCCGTCATTTCGCCGTTTCTCGGTTTCCCTCCCATCTAGCCGCTGCCGCCCCCGCTCTCTTCTACCATTTCGATCCCTCATCTCTTCACCCCGCGTCCCCGCAGTGCTACCGCTATCCGGCGATTCGATCGACCTCATCTTCTCGCTACCGACTTAAGATTGTTCAGAGATTTCTTCTTCGCGCTCTTCGAGAAAAGAGATCCGGCCTAGGCGATCGTGACTGCCTGCAACCTTGATATTAGCAAGCTGCATAAAAGTTATGCATTGCAGTTATTTTATTATCAGTGTTGATGTAATTTAAAAATCGGACTTATTTCCCTCTCGAAATTATATTAAACTCGTCCATTGAGAATAATGTTTTGATTAAATCGATAAAACGTATCAACAAGAATAGTATAATATTTTGGTGAAATCAGACAGAATTTCTGATGATAACAATTAATTTCTGGTTATGATACTAGAAATTCTGTTTGATTTCATCAAGATGTCATTTTTGTTGGCACATGTTTTACTGATATTATTAAAACATTCTTTAAATGCATGTAAACTAAATTGAGCTAATTGAGATTATTGTATAGTAAATCACACGATGCGCCGACCACTGCATGCATAATTCAGAATTGCTGCATTCGTAAATTTATCGTGAAAACGTATTCCGTATTTTTTTCCTTATTAGCTAGATATAGACATTTTCCTGTCAAATGAAACTTTTCCTTGAAGTTATTCGAAACGAGACAGAAAGAGAAAGAAGAGTGATATCGCGAGTTCGACGTGTTTTCAGCGAATGTTGATTCCACTTTGCGTCGATCTTATCCTGGTAGAATTAGACAAGATGTTGTACTGCACGTATTCTAGCACGACCAATTAAAAATCGGTCCTAAATGCTAATCGATCCTTAATACTTTTTTTAAGTTGTTCACACTCATGTTATAATATATCAAATATAATAATTAAAAGATTAAAAAAATATAATTAAATCATTAAACGTACTTTACATATATTTATATAAGCTGCATTTAGGACTAAAATGTGCGGACGCCATTATTTTGCTACTGTGCACAACTTCGGGAATGCAACATCATGTTCTGATTGCCTTATCCTTCACATCGATTTTGACGTGGCATGCGCAGGATTCAGAATCTCGAGCAAGTCGAGAGATCATAGCCGTTAAGAAGAACTCAAGAAGCTCGTGGGGCTTCGGTTCCCACCGAGATAGACGCTCGTTCGGTCGTGTAATGTAAATCGATATTGCCGCGTCGTCTGGATACAACGTCATGCCGGGCTCCGTCTATATGCGATCGATATATCGGTCGATATGTCGGCACATAAACCGAGCATAATATAACGTAGCGAACGAGAGAAGTCTTAT